GCAAGTTTTGGTACACATTCAACGCGTTTGGGCGCACGCTTAGTTTTGTGGCGCGTGACGGTATATTTGGCTGGCTCAACCCGAGTTGCCGGCTTCGGGGCCGAGTGTCCGCACAATCCGGGTCGAGTGTCCGCACCCACGGAAGGTGTGCTTAAATCCTTGGAGTAGGCGGTTCAGTTGTTGGGCCTTGTTCTACCTCTGTCCCCCCTCCTGCCCGGGGTGGATTGTATACCAGACCCGGGGGATTGGCAACTCCGCCTGCTCGGCCTGCAGTTGATCTTAGACCTCGTTCTCATCCGGCTGCTGTGCCGGATTGGAGACTTGCCTCTTCTACTCCTCCTAAAGCTTCCCTTACCACTGCTACTACCGGTGCATCCTCGACACCCAGACCGTCGACAGTGTCGACTCGACACAGGATCGTTACGATCCGATCGTACCCCGGCCTTTGCTCCCTTGTATAAGTACGACTACGCTCACTTGATTCCCAAATAATATTTGGCAAATATGTGGAACAACCATCCCATGCAGAGAGATATTCTTGGATGTGGAGATGGGCTAGTCAAACTGCCACTTCGTTGACTACGATGTGCGATACCGCAGTGGCATTCTTCCAACGTTGAGGATTCTTAAGTCTGTAAGTGCGCGAGACATTGTGTCTGCGTGCAGGCTGTTTTGCGCGTCGCGTGAAGCAGTAGCTGAGTAGTTGTTGTTGGCAAGCTCAGTAGTTGAGTGTACTAAACTCTGGACCGCTACAGAGTTCCTGGTTCACTTACTGCACTGTTGAGGTACGCAACTGACGTCTAGTTACGGTGCAAGCACGTTACGTTGGTCAGAAGGTAGCTTGTATATCCAGTAGTTCAGACCTTGAGTTGGCAGTAGTCATGGTTCTAACGCGAAGTGGAGCACGTAGTGAGGCCGCTCATATATCAGAGGGTGTTCGCCGTTCTCCGAGACTTATTCACAAGTGCACTGAGGATACGTCACGCGTCAGTACAAGGCAGAGTCCGTCGGTTCGATCAACTAGTACTTGGGGTTGTAAGGCTCGCGGTATCAACGCAGCCAGCGTGGGCAAGGGTTCGGTTGTTGTTACACCATCCACAAGTTCTATTCCTTCGGGTAATAGTGCCGTCCCCACTCGCCCCCACGCACAACGACTTGGAGATCGAGCTTCGCCTGTGAACGTGATAATCTGGGAGCAAGTTGCTATGAGAAACTCGCCGGTCCTTGGGCTATCAACCATCCAGTGATGGCTGGGTTGTTCCACGATGATGTCTTGTCTACGACCTTGGCTGGTAGATTACTGGTTTGTCAAGGTACCCTCAATTCATCCCGTATTGAGGCCTGTGAGAGTGACTATGATTTAGTTCATGGACCGTCCGCGAGTGCGGTGCTGCGTTATTGCCACGACTGTCAAGCTCCCATCCATTTGGTTACCCTGCATACTACGGGCTACCGACCTTCGGCCCCGTCGACGAACTTTGCTAACCTCTTCTCCTGTTGCCCCAAACATGCTCAACAAGCTCTTGACCGTCTCTTACGTGCTGGGTGAACGATTAGTGTATATGACATAGTTGAGACACTGCTGAGGGTCTATGACTCGGCTTCAGACTATCAAATACAATTACCGATACTCTACAAGTGATACTTGATTCCGGAATTGCAACCCGTTTAGTGTATATGATATAGTTGAGACACTGCTGAGGGTCTATGACTCGGCTCCAGATCACCAAACACAATTACCGATACTCTACAAGTGATACGTGATTCCGGAAGTGCAACCCGATGAGTGTATATGATATAGTTGAGACACTGCTGAGGGTCTATGACTCAGCTTCAGATCACCAAACACAATAACCGATGCTCCACAACTGATACTTAGTTCCGGAATTGCAACCCGATTATTATATATGATATATTTAAGACACTGCTGAGGATCTATGACTCCGCTTTAGACTATCAAACACAATTACCGATACTCTACAAGTGATACTTGATTCCGGAAGTGCAACCCGATCAATGTATATGATATAGTTGAGACACTTCTGAGGGTCTATGACTCGGCTTCAGACTATCAAATACAATTACCGATACTCTACAAGTGATGCTTGATTCCGGAAGTGCAACCCGTTTAGTGTATATGATATAGTTGAGACACTGCTGAGGATCTGTGACTCGGCTCCAGATCACCAAACACAATTACCGATACTCCGCAAGTGATACTTGATTCCGGAAGTGCAACCCGATGAGTGTATATGGTATAGTTGAGACACTGCTAAGGGTCTATGACTCGGCTTCAGACTATCAAAAACAATTACCGATACTCTACAAGTGACACTTGATTCCGGAAGTGCAACCCAATGAGTGTTTATGATATAGTTGAGACCCTGCTGAGGGTCTATGACTCGGCTCCAGATCGCCAAACACAATCACCGATGCTCTACAAGTGATACTTGATTCCGGAATTGCAACCCGATTAGTGTATATGATATGTTTGAGATTTTGCTGAGGATCTATGACTCCGCTTCAGACTATCAAACACAATTACCGATACTCTAGCAGTGATACTCGATTTTGGAATTGCAACCCGATTAATGTATATGATATAGTTGAGACACTGCTGAGGGTCTATGACTCGGCTTCAGATCACCAAACACAATTACCGATACTCTACAAGTGATACTTGATTCCGGAAATGCAACCCGATTAGTGTATATGATATAGTTGAGACACTGCTGAGGGTCTATGACTCGGCCTCAGACTATCAAATACAATTACAGATACTCTACAAGTGCTACTTGATTCCGGAAGTGCAACCCGATTAGTGTATATGATATAGTTGAGACACTGCTGAGGGTCTATGACTCGGCTCCAGATCACCAAACACAATTACCGATTCTCTACAAGGGATACTTGATTCCGGAATTGCAACCCGATTAGTGTATATGATATAGTTGAGACACTGCTGAGGATCTACGACTCGGCTCCAGATCACCAAACACAATTACCGACACTCTAGCACTGCTAGAGTACACGCTATGATACACGGGCCGTGTATCATACACGGTGTATGTCTCTAGCGAGGACGTGGCAGCTGTCGCTATGAGCCACGGTAGGCTTGGCAAGCCTGGCTTGCTCATGAGGGTAGCAAACGGAGAGGGTAGCTACCGCAGAGGTGGTACCGCTCTGCAGCTTCGTGAGCCTGTGCACACCTCTGCAAGGGGATCGGACATCTTATGTTTGGTAGCTTTGGCAAAGCTGCTCTGCGAGCCAGTGCATGGCTCTGCAAGAGGTCAGAGCAGCCCTTGATATGCAGCGGCATGGCAGTATTGTACGTTCGCGTTATACAGGCTGTGTGCGCCTCTGTAATACTATATAGCAGCTGTCGCTATCGCAATGACGTTACGCAGCGTTGCAAGCCCGTATACACCTCTCCAAGACAGTAGACAAGGCTATGAGGCTCACAGTATGAGCCCGTTTATGCCTTTCAAGTTGAAAGTTTCAACTACCACCAGGGCAACTCTCCCCGTGCTGTAGCCTTGAGTTTGCACATTCCTCTAGACGAGGGTAGGCTAAATATGAGCCTCAGCGTTCAAATACCAGGCGAGTCGCGGCGACTTCCGGGGTTCGGGCCGGGATAGCGAGAAACCCATCCCGGCTAGTGGACCGGAATCCGGGGGCCCGGACCCCGTCATCCCGACCGGATAACCTGACCCCGGTTTTCTGAAACCGGGTAACGGAGCGGTTTAACTTGATATGTATTCTTCGCTCGCCCGAAATAAGGCCGACGGTTGCGTTACACCGTCATGAAGGCTTCTCCTGCCGCGAGGACCTGAGCTAGGTCACCTAGCGAAGCGTCGAATCTCTCGATTCAAGACGAACTGTTTGGTTTGTATCAATCAGGTCGCCATGGGTGAGCCTTACGCTCGAGTTATTTATGCCTGCACCAGTTATTTCTGGGCTTCTTGCTCGGTTTCATCCAATTATCGGATTCCAAATTGCAACTCCCAACACTAGTACTATAAGCACCCGACGTCAATCCAATACTCTCAAGCTCGTCTTCCACCGATTCTCGG